ACGATAGTTCATCGTGGTAACCAATTACACTAACTTCTTCGTTTGTTTTTAAGTTCACTTCATTAGCAAAGTAATACACTCCTTGTATCCAATGGTCTCTCCAAGGTACGTTGTGCCGTTGCAAATGCCATTTAGGGGCACAGCTCAGCATAATATCACCATCGGTGTCCATGGCCAAATCCCACCATACAAATGCGGCATGAGCAGTACCATTTTCTTTTGATTTACAACGAATAGCATTTTTACGATCTGTTATCACGCCATTTTTATCACTCCAATTGAATCTATGAATATATTTTAACCGGTTAAATAATATGGGGGGTAATTAAAATAGTTACAGTTAATATCTATCACCTGAACATCACTTGTGCAGGAATTAACGTTTTAAAAGAATCTGTTGGTAGTTCACCGAGTTGTAAATCAAACACACTTTCAATACCTTGACAATTCTTTATGTTTTCAGGTATCTTAATCAATAACTTTTTATTGTGGTACACATCATTAACTCTATTGAAATTTCTTATATACTTGCTTTCGATTACTTGAGCATACACAATAGCTTCAGAGGGGATTACAATACAATCATCCTAAAACAAAAATAGTACAAGAAACAAATTATTAGTTGTTGGGCAAATACATTTTCTGCTATTATTCAATTAAGTAAAAAACAATATAGGTATATTATAAATATTACCGTTAACAGTTCCTGATGAGCATGATTGAACACTGAAATAGCTCCTTCCCCAATCAGTTCTGTGTCAAAAACTTCTGTGACTAATAAATTCATACGGTGAGGTAAGTCCACACCAACTTTTAACTTTTGAGAGCTCTTGTGAATAAGAACAATTTTGTCTTCCAAATAATTTGACTTTATTATTTCTTTTGCACATTTATAGGAATCTTCAAATTCCTATAAGTAGCCAAGAGTTTAAAAATCTAAGTATGTTATGTTACCAACAATGTTTTAAATACTTCACAGGCATAAACAGAATCAGCACCACATTTAGCAGCCATCATAGCCAGTAGACCAGTACCACTTCCGATGTCTAGGACATGGACTTTTTTGTTAGATTTATGCAATCTAGTAATTTCTTTTTTCAATGCTTTATAGTACAACTGATTCTGTAAGGAAAATACATGGGAATTATATTTTAATTATTGTTGTAGTACACATGGCATAATTACTCTGTCACTGTCATAGAGCATATCTCCAAAAGCAGCTCGGGCAATATTCTGATGGTGATCAAACTCCATCATAGAATTTACTTCCCAATTGTCATCCATGGTATTCTGAAACATGTAAATGTTTTAAACTATACACCATATTGAGAGTACTTTAAAGTTCACAGTATACCATTTTGGGCATCACTATTTTTACAATTAAATTGTGGATACCAAGTAGATATTTTGAGTATAAAACGCAATTAATCTATACAATTTTAGTAGTAATAATGGAATATAAAATACCTGATCAAATGAAAAGTCTACAGTTTTTTGAAAAACAAATTATAACCTTACTGTTATTTTCAAGCATTAATTTTGTACTGGCTTTTACTATACACTTTGTGTTTATATATTCATTATGTATAAGCACCTTTTTTTTTAAATTATCAATAACCATGATTATAAATTGTAATATGTCATAAGAATTCTGTTAGCAAAACTATAAGAAAACTACTTATCTATAACAAGACCATGATAATGTTAGAATACTAAATTTATTGTATAATTAGTAATAACCACTAGTATTCAATAACTGAAAATGGTAGGTAGGTATCAATTATTATAGGTAATAAACAAATTAAGAATAACATTAAATTGCTTCGAACACGAAAAATCAGTACAAATAAATTTCTATTACTATCTATTGATGTTTCTACATACTTTGAATCGGTTGGATTAATTAATTGTTATGAACCCGTGGATGTCCAGCGGTTTGGTGGCCGCTTGCGGTCTCGCGGGTGCAAAAATTTTGAAAAATTTCAACGCGCAAAACCGAAGCACGATGTTAGTAACATTAATAATTAATTCAATATTCATCGACTAGTTTCGCTTTCGCCGTTTCGTTGATAACGAAACGTGGTGGTGATGATAACATGGTACAACAACCGTGACGAGTGGAGTTGACCTTGGAACAACCAAGGGGCGAGGACAGCTGCTACTGCCTACTGGACGTGTTGAATAGTGAATACTGATACCTAAATACCTATAATGGTCGATTACTCGATTCCATAATTATTAAGTATTTTTATCCAGAGTCTTAAATTATAAGATATTTATATACAAAATACAAGTTGATTAATTATATCTTAAAATTTAAATCGTGCTTGGTGGTTGACACAATGACACTGTTCAAAGAGTTAAGGATCCTTAATAATTGATTTAGATTCGGAAAAAAGCATAATTCAAATCTTAGTTATCTTAGTTTATAGTAAAAAGTAATTACATGATTAAGATTAACTAACATGAGTCATGTAAGTGAATCATGAATTAAACAATATTACTAAATGAAACAGCCGTTTGAGGAATTATTGTAAATTATAAAGAGTTATAGCTAATGCAAAATATATGTCCATATAATATGAGGGAAGACGTGATGTATTGGTTTTAAATTTGATTTTCAAATGCAATAAAACGCAAAACTTAAATTGTTCTGATCAGTGCCTTGATTTACGATATCAACTATCTTAATCAGATCTTGGTTTACTCAAACCTAACATTCAAATTACACCTAGGATAATTTTTGTAGTGTGCCTAAACTGCTGATGTCTAGTGTCTATAATAATTACTCCATCTTCATCATTTCTAGCATATTCCTGTTAGTACTTAATTTGTGTAACATACATGTATGTACTATGTACAACAAATCGAATTCCATGTTTTTGTGACATAACGGCAATCAGCCAACTGTTGATAATTATTACAAATTTAGTATACATAATATAAGCTAAAGCCCTTGACTATCGAAAAAAAAGTACATTGTATATTTTTTTTAAAGATAATTGAAAGGTTAAGTGGATAAATTTGTTTGGTAACATGGCAATCAGGTTTGTACTTGGAAGTCTAAAGCTATTGGTTTACAAAAATACTCATTGAGAGAATATGCTTTATTGGTTCAGAAATTTAATTATTTCAAGACAAAAATAAAAGGATGTCATTTTTTGTATGTCTTATATGTTTGCATATTTATCATGTCCAATAACCATTTTATTGTTGATACTTGATTGTTACAATACTGGATTAATTATTCTGGTATTTGCAGAAAATCTGATGTTTAGACGAACTACATTTCACGTATTTTCCATCAATAGCAACAAATGTGTAAGACAAGCACCACTAGATATAAAATCACATGTAACAGCCAACTGTTCACCTGGTTAATTGGTACCTGAAATTAAATATATTATTATATTTTATAAAAATGTACAATTTCTTCAATATGATAAAGTTTGAACAATTTCATATTATAGATAGAATTATTTTTATATAGGTTAACCAGAACAAAACGATGTATAACAATTTTTTTGAAGTATTTTTGTGATAACCTTAACTATTACATTATAAGCAATTAGTTGTACCTATAAAATATATTTGTATTTATAATTTTAATTTAATACTTTCAATCTTAGGTTAAGTTATTATCTAGATACAATAATTATTTCCTATCAAATAAATATTGATTTGTATTTCAACTGTCTAAGGCAGGATTATCCCATTGTCACACAATTTTAAAACCTATGAAGCATTCTTTATAAATGTATAATCTCTTAACTTGGGGGACGGAGTGGCCGAGTGGATAACGCGTCAGTCGCAACGCGCACCGTCGCCGGTTCGAATCTCGGTCACGGGTGGCACTTCTCTCCGGGCAGTCACGGTGTCTGGAGAGAGAGGCCGCCATCCCCCAACCGGGTATGGCAGAAACCTACGGGTGCCCACTAGAAATTCTGCCAAACAAACACACACGTGTTCCATAACCCTACAGTAACCCAACAGTCCCAAAAACCCTACAGTACCACAACCTACAGCTAATGGCCTCAGTTGCCGAAGCTTAAGATCAAAAAAAAAAAAAAAAAAAAAAAAAATCTCTTAACTTGTTTATTGGACTCCACACATTTAAACTAAATATTATTAAACTTTAAATGGCATATGCTAAAATTCAATATTCATAAACAAGAGTGAGTTTATAGAATTGATTTTGGGATGGGATATAAGTTTTAGTTTTATTATATTATAAATTAAATGAGGTAGATAAATGATTTTATAATGGTTTTCGTAAACAATAAAATAAAATAAAATAAAATGTATTGTTCATAAAATAAAGTATGTTTTTTTTCTAGCTAAAATGTCTAGCGTGTCTTTGGAATCAATATTGTCCCAAAAAAATGTGCATTATTCAGAATTTGTTTTGCACAAAAGGATTTTATTTAGGGAATTTTTGGGTTTTTTTTAAGACATTTTTTGGGTTTTTTTTGAATTCCAAGTCTCATTGTGTAATTTACAAATAAAATTATCATTAACAAAATTGACATACACCAAGTCTTTATTTATTCTGTGTTTAAAAGTAAGAAGGTATAAAGTTTAGGCGGTTAAAAATGACATCAGAAATCGTAAGTTTAAGTTTATATCAGTTTTTTCTTTTAACTGTAATAATAGTTAACCATTGCCCACTAATTTTTATTTTAAAATTTTAAAAACTTGCAATATTTTATAGCAAAGTGCTCACGAGAATTTAATTACGGTGATTTAAAAAAAAAAAAGGCTCGGGGGATAATTCCTACTATTAAGCCAATGAAACCTTATCAAAATATTTGTATTAACTTCTATGAAGACAAAAAGGAAGTAGAAACTCTGTGAACAACCATAATAATTCCATCTACTGAAACCTTCACCAAGGTTGATCGATAGAATCTATAAAAAAAATAAAAGCATTTAGTTCTAACATAATTTTAACTTATATGGTATGATTTATTATGTATGATACAAAATATGATATTATAATCTAAGTAACGTCTTTTGTGACATTTTAATTGATTTCAAAGTAAAATTTTAAATATGTCATATTGTTGATTATCATAATGTTATACATATTTTAGTACTTGCCTACTTGCTGTTGTAATGAATCATATTGTTGATAATTTTGTAGATATTAGGGACAATTTTTGTATAGTACAACCATAATCACGGATTTGAATTTTTCAACTTCTTGTGCTTCAAATTAACTGATCTTTCATATTGGCTTACACATAGACATATAAATTTCGTGTTGACTAGATGATAATATTAATTCCTAAATATTTTGATCAATTTATTAGCATAAATAACATTAGTAGGAAGCAATGAAGTACAAAAATATTATATTTAATATACCTTAGGAACATTTTTTTTTTCATTTTTTAGTTGATGTAGTAAATTGTCTAATTTCTTTATTTTTTTTCTCAAGTCTACTGTTTGTCTATATAAAAACTTAATTTGTTTGTTTTGCTTATTCACAGTTGACTGCGAAGCTATCCAATATTTTAATCTATTATTTGGGCTATCAATATCACTTGGGTGTTTAAAATCACCCATAAAACACTTTCTTTTACTGAAACAATAAAATATTTTATATAGAATCATGTGGGCAAAAATATATATGCTTTTATACAACTCACTTATTTGGTCTTAATAATTTTTCTCCATCTTTGCCTTGTACAAGCACACTTGGAATTTCATTTCTATTTTGGATAGTGGGTAAAGGTGAAATTGTACTTGCACTTTGAACAGTAGCTTTTGGCAATACAATATTTTTTATTAAGGTGTCTACTGGAACTATAATTAAATACAATCAAATCATAGTAAGTAGTAGGTACTCAGTTTTAAATACAAAATTATATTGTTTAGCATACGAGGTATAGAAGGTGGTACAACGGGTAGTTCAGCATATAAATCTGACGGTGATAATGTAACAACTTCTTCTGCATCATGATCAGGAATACAGTTTGATTCCTTATTTGACTTGTTAAATAATGATCTACGGATATCTACAAACATAATTTGTTAATATTTTATTTTGATACCTGGATATCAAGTACCTATGCTAATAAATAACTTACTTTGGTTCATAATACTAGGGATAGAATTTTTTTTTAAACGTTTTGTTAGATAAGCGCTGGTAGGTGTAATTTCATAATCCAAATCGGATAAAAAATGTAGCCCACAAACAGTGATACAACGACTTGTTGGCACAAACAGAGGATTGTATTTCTTGAGGAATGTAACCCATGCTTCACGAATTTCGCCCTTAGGAAGTCTAATTTAGAAGAACATCATAAGAGTTAATTGATAAATAAAAACTTGTGACAAACATCTACTCTACATACCAAAACATAAGTTTTAGAACTTATAATCAAAATGCAAGATCAAAATGTTGCTAATAAAATACCTGTGAAACTTAATACCTTGACCAGCTCTGGATTTACAGCCTTTAACTGAACAAGTAGTGACCATTTTTATGTAACTCAAACAAAATAGTAAGAACAAATTAGCATTAAAATATTAAATACGTCAAAATTATAAACTGATAAATTATTGAAAATATAGTTTGAAAACAATAAAAAACATAATTGATTACAATATTAAAAACCCTGAATATAATGCCTTGATAAAAAGTTATAATCTCTTAGCCTGATAAAAACCATGGAATGCAGAATATATCATTAAATACAAATATTCAAGCAGTAACCTCAAAATTCAAATGACAAATATAACTCCCAAGATTTTCAAGGGAGAAACTGGGGTGTATTATTAATACATATCAGATCAATTATTTTGAGCTTTTGAGAAGGTACCCTTGCGACTTGCATTAAACATGCTTTACGTACCAACCCGTATCAATAGGCTCAATTTTTTTTAGGGGATGGGAGGGCTTGGGTATGCTTATCACTTCCAGTTTTCTCATTGTAATTGTGCCCCTGCCCGTATCGGACTCTGACTTCGATACGAGCCGGCACCTAGGTACGTAACTATTGAACTATTCCTCATCGATGGGTATAGAATTTTCCTTTTTGAAAATCTTAAATAACATTGGTTATTTATATAATAAAATAAACAATTAGTAGGTATTTTGTTTTTACAAACTATACAGTCATTAAACATAATAGAAGCAACTAGGTTTTCTTTAAATTATATAATTTTTATTATTTTACTGTTTTTTTTTTCATTTTGAGTTATTTAATTATTAAGTATTCACAGGGAAGTTATATTATTGAAAATAATGAAATTTCTAAAATTTCTATTGATCATTAAATGTGGCTTTTTAATTTTATACCTGATTTTATTCGTAAGCAAAAAAATTATTACTTTTTTTTCCAATCAAAGTTTAATTGGAAAACTAAGGTAAGCTTTTCTGAAAAATAACATTATCCGTGTGGTATGTTGGTTTTTTTACGATAATTCAATTTTCTAGCTGGTTATGCTTATGTATATGACGTAAATTAAAAATGATCATAATTCATTTAAAAATTGATCTATCGTAAAAAACAAACATACAAACACAGATAATGTTCTTACCATCAAGTTTTATAAAAGGTCCATCCATCCTAATTTTTAAATTAGCAAAGCTATTTTTATACATGTGATCGGCTGAACGTAAATTTGGTATATTACGGAACTTGTAAGACGGAGACAACAAATGCTAGTATTACGTCTTCTTAACAATATAGAATTATGTGCAATAACTTTGTATATTTAAGCCATCGTGGTGCAAACTGCAAAGCAATAATAAAGGCATAAAGTATGAAACGTTAAAACCATGACAACATTTTGTCATGCATGATCGCATGAATGCCATGAAACTATGAAAGCTCAATGCTCAGAGTAAATGCTTATTCTTTTAAAGTTTATAATTTATAAGCTAATTGTAAATATAATCTATGGACTAAATACTAATAGACCATGGACTACGGTTCAAACAAATCCCCAAAAAGAACTAAAATACTCCTCAAAATACTCCTGAGCCGTGCCAAGGGGAGCATTTAATTAATGTTTAAATTGGGGCACCAATGTAAGTTAACACAAACTGCTCCTCCAAGTGACTACAATACAAATATATACCTATATGTAGACATACAAATATTATTCAATTATTACTATTTTTGTCAAATTTTTTACCTACACGCGTATGTACTTTACGCAATTAATATAGAAATAATTATAAGGGCTGATAAAAAAATGGAACTTAAGATCCTCATTGTTTATACGACTGTACCTATTAATATAATATTATAGTCTATACTAAATAAAACAATTGATTATATTATACATATTATAAGTACCTACTTATTAACTTAATATTATTTATTAATTAATATTTTGAAGAAAATTACTAGGTACTAAAATAAAAACTAAAAATTAACATTTATAAGTAGTTAATACATATAATATTTTTATATACCTACCGACTAAATATATTATAATAATATAAAATATTAATTCTAGTGTGTTAGAAATAATGACACAATGTACATTGATATATTTTAATTTTGACGAAATAAACTTGTGACGTTATTAATACCTACTAGAAAACCAAAAATTCATCAAAATCTTGAAAATTTGCAAATTATTTTGTAGCTAAAAATGTATAAAATGTTCAATTTTAAATTTTGTGTGGAACGATGAATCTATTGATTTTACAATATTATTTTTATTTATTTGTGGGTGTACACGATAAGCAGTCAAAATAATGCTTTGATTTTCAACTTCAATATTTTTGTTAATATACTTGGCGCATTCGAAAGGTTAAAATTTCAATACAAAAAGAAATTAAGGAAATAATGGAATTTCTGTCGGCTAGTTCTTCGTAAACTTTTGTTGTTTACATTACCATTTTCCATACAACATTAAATTTTAAAATATTTTGATTATTTTTTAGCCATTTAAAGATAGGTATATGAAAAATGTTAAAATTTATTTTAGCTTTTTTCATTTATTGTTGATGAATACTATTTGCTAGGTCAAAATACTTGAAAACTAAATACATGGTTAAGAAATCCACAGTAAATTTTTATGAGCGTCTTAAGTTTTTCGACATTGGATTTTCAGCCGTATATTTAAGTATTTTGTTTTATAATAATAAACGGGTTTGAAACCCTTTTGAAAATGTATGCATATTACATAATTACAAAACATTCATAACAAAGAAAAAAGTTTGATTATAAATAATGATAGATAAATAAGGTTAATTAGATTAGGTCGCTGAAGTTGATAAATATAAAAAACGAAATTTTAGATACATATTATAAACAACAGCTTTGGATGTCACATACATTATTTAAACTAAATAGCCATAAGACGGTACAATAAGATATCATATTTATATTTTAATCTTATTTTCCAAATAGTTATACATTTTGAAACTCACTGAGCTGTGTATAATCACTTTGATCACAGCCGATAATATAAAATATTATTTTCATAACAGTTATATGAGATTCTGTGATCAGAGGTAAGGAACGGGTATTTTAGAATAGGATCGAAAAAAAAATTTCATTTTTAATAGTTATGATTTATTATATCGTAATATATAATGTTGGCAAATATAGTCTCTATACCGGAAATCCGTTTTTACATCATAGAAATTTATTGAGTGCATAATATTCTACTCTTAACATAAAAAAAAAAACGAATCACCATTACAAATATTATCAATCACTTTATGTATAAGTAATTAAAACTTAAAAATAATTATAATTTAGTGTCGTAAGATATTCTAAGAAGTATATAGCCAAAGTGTATATATAAACACAATGAACACAACTTATACAACAAGATTTATAAAATAATAAATAATATATTTTCAAGATGTTTCTTACGAATATGACTACTAATTAATCCGTAATAAAAAAAAAAAAAACAAAACAAAACAAATATTTTATTCTCATCATTCTTTGAGAGATTAAAGTTTCATGACGGACTTACAAGTTGAAATCGATCAATATCAACACGAAAAATACCTATTAATAATATAGTGCAAATATGAATTATGTAAAAATGATCAACCCTGTCTATTTAAGCAAAAAAAAAAGGATTTGTCATTTATCTTATTTAAGTTTTATGTTATCGTCATAAACAACAACAAATGAAAGTAATTTTTAAAACATAATCGTCGAGACATATATTTACTTATCATATATATATATATATATATATGTATGTATAAATGTGGTTACTTAAATACAATCAATATTATAATATTATATATTATTTTACTTGTGTCTTAATAACACAGTTGAAATTATAGATATCGATGAATAGAGCAAAGGATAAACAGATTTATGTACCTAAGTTTATTATTATTATTATTATGTAATATAAAAAAAAAAAACAAAAAACAATAGCATGAATAAAAGAAATGCACTTTAATGTAGAAACTTACAGAAGAACATTCAGTATTTTTTTTTAATAATATGCGTTCTTGGTTCTAATTCAAACGCCATTATTTTTATTTTTATCGACAAATTGGGTCACATAATATAGAGCTTATACAAAAAACAAAAAAAAAATAATAATGTTAACTTACACATTATTATTATTATTAATAATAATATAAACCTTAAAACTTTTCTTTGATCACTATTATAAAAAGAAAAAAAATAGAATAATAAAAAGAAAACATCTCAATAAAATAACAATATGATACACAAATATGATTTAGTTGGAGAAAAAAAAAATCCGAGACGTTTTTTTCATTGGTCGACATATTATATTATATTGCACCACTACGCAAAACTTTAGTAGCTTTCCGCATTTTTATAAATAAATAGAAATACGAATTTTTTTCACATCAGTCTTTCCATTTCCCCCAGATTTGTTAAAGATGCCACAGAAAAATATATCTAAAACACATTTTCCTTTTATTTTGTTTTGTTTATCGTTTTAAATAAATCCCTTAAAATCTAAATTAGGGAACATCGCGCTATACATCGTTTAACAAATATCACAGATCGAGTATTATTATTTTTTACAATATAAATTAATAAGACAAATAAAAATTAATATCATAATGTTAATTTTATCGAGTTTTATACAATTTACATGGACTTGTTATAAAAAATTGACCCTTGGCAAAAAGAAAAAAAGGAACTCATTCGAATTGTCTAAATATCCGTATAAAACACAATTTTTTATACTTTTTTAAGACTAGTTTAAATATTTTATTTTAGGTTAGGAAGTAACCATATTTTGTCAATATATATATTATGCATTTCTTCTGGATGTTTCAAGTTTACCGTGCATTTCAAAAGAAAGTATTAGATTATAATAATAGATAATTAGCAATAAAGTTAACTTTATTAGTTAAATTTGGAATGTGACTTCATTTTGCAATTAAACACTGGAAGAAAAAAAAAATTAGCCCCTAAATCCAAAAAATTTTTATAAGAAGTCACAATCATTAATTATATATGCTTTATGTTTAGTTTACTGTTGGACTGATTGTGGTTGGCCATAGTATGGATAACCTGCTTGCGGCACGGTAGCGTAACCATTTGGAAACGCTTCTTGAGTAGCTGCCGGGGGGCGGTTCTGCTGGAAGAACTTGTGTGTAAGTAGGGGCTGTATG